CGCCGCATCTTTCACCGATCCCCTCCACAATTCAAAACCAAATCAAGATTCCACTATTACCCACTCTCAGATTCGATCAAGAATCCATTTTAGTAACAAGACCCGACACAACACCCACCTGCAACTTCACTCCCACACCTCAAGCAATGCAGTTCCAATAAAAAGAAAAAAGAAAAAACTGAAGATAAGGAGAAGGAAGTGATAAGAAGAATGAATGAAGGAGACTCTTAGTTAAGGAGTTGTCAAAGAAGTGGGAGTAAGTGATAGTGAGTGATGTGATCTGGGTTTTTATTGTGTGGGAACACTGAGAGAATGAGGGGTGCTTTTCTTCTGTATTTGGAAGGAAAGATTTAAGTTTGCTAACCAAGAGATTACATTGGCAGGTTTGGAGCCGTGAGCTTTTTAGGGCCGTATGGAGGGGAACCAAGGAGCAGGCGCAGCACATGGTGCTTTTCGATATCTTATTCAAGGCTAAGTTTTGCCATACAGGTAAAGGGCAATTTTAGTTCTATTGTTAAGGAAGGGGATGTGGATGGGATGAATTAGTTTCGACTTAAAATCATCTGAGAGGCATTAGTTTTAAAATGCGTACGATGGTCCAAACCCAAAATAGGAAGATTTGAAACGTAAGATAACAATATCAACGTATCATATTAATAACTTTGGGAGTTACATCCAATAATAATTAAGTGTGATATTATAAATTAATTTTAAAATTTAAATTTTAGAATTAACATAAAATAATTAATTTTTTTTTAAATACATCAAACTAATATAAGGTATGTGTTTTTAACATTGCCTTGGTGAGGGATAACTGTCGAGATGAGCAAAAATTGTCCCTGGCAACAAATATATATAAAAAAAAAATCAACTTACTCTATCTTCTTTTACCAAAAAGAAAAACTTACTATTTTTTTTTTATCGAAAATGATATAATTACAATATTACATAATATTTTAAGTATATATTATGATTTGTAATTATATAATTGATTTTTTTATTTAAAGATTCATTTATGATATTCTATGTATTTAATAATACATTATATTTATTTAATTACATATTATAATTATAAATTTATAATTTTATTGATATTATAATAATAACATTGTCTGTATTTGTTTTAAAAAATAATGTTTTTGCTAGCGTGCCACATCAACAAAAAAATCAACAA